AGACCAAAAAGAGCATCAGAAAAGAAAAAAAAGACCAAGAAGTCCCTGGGAAAATGAGAAAACATGGTCCCACTAGGTTGCACTCTGGTCACATTTTTTATTTTTACCAGCCATTACAATCTTTCAACAAAATGGTTGCTTCACTGAATATGGATTCATGTAAATTTCTGGCATCGACTATGCGTTACCTCCTCTAGAACATACAAGTTTGATTTTTATTTTTTTATTCCTGTACACACATTTCAATGCCACGCCAAAAAATTTGCTTTCCTACTCCCTGTGGCAGTATATGCATTTTTCTTTCTGACTAATGTGCAGAATCTGTACAGTGAGTTGCACATAAAAACACAGCGAAAACAGCAGACGAGCGCTAGGTGAGCACACACATCTTATTTTTATGGTGGCTTTTAATCTTAGTTGGCCAGCAAACACGAGCTTTCTTACTTTGCCATATAAAAATACTTTTATTGTTAATTGTGTCTCTGATTGCTAGCCTGTTGCAAAGAGAAGCCATGAAACCTGACACTAACAGTAAAGCAATCAGCAATGGTTAATGGCTAAATCACTTTAGAAGTGCTCATTAATTAAAATCTGTTGAATTTCTTTGCAGTCCATATTTAATCATGGGGTCATTAGCACTGCCAAAGTGTACTTCAGAAAAAGATGCAGAAACTTTTTTAGCTGAACATCTTAAAATTTACCTCATCCATCAAAAAAAAAAAAAAAAAAAAGGTTTTGTTTTACATTAGGCCATATTAGGTATAAAAAGAAAAAAAGAAACAGTGATTATGTTGTTGGGCCAGATTATATAAAACTGCTATATTATTGTAATTAGGACAACAGTGACACGGACTATAATAGTGGCTTTCTTGTAAAAATGGCACCATTTCAAATTCATAGTCTCTAGCTAAATGAGTTTGTTGTAGCATTGACGAAGACAGAAACACAAGCCAAATGCAGTCAAAATTAAACACAAACAGAAACCTTAGCTGTTTATTTGCTGGGTAGAACCCAGAATGTTGTTTTGCAAAGAGAATTTACTTAATGTTTTTCCTTGCATTCTGACTGCTTTTTCAAGGCAAAATTGTTATCTTTAAGACTTTAAGCACATTATGCATGTAAAAATATTTATGTACGTGTAGTTAATACAGTATCTGTAGCGGGGTGAAATCCTACTTAAATATTGATAATCCAAAGCTCTAGACCAAAGCACGGAGAGTTCTGCTGTATTTGGGAGTTTGCCTAAATAACAGCTATGGTGGCTGTGAGTTCCTCTTTTCTGCATTACTTTTCACTGCCAGGAATATCTCAGTTCTTCAAAACTTTTATTCATGCTGAGTTGAAAAAAGTTCAGTCACTTATGGGAGTGGGTAGGTTGCTACTTTTTCTGGACCCTCAGCATCTTGCAGTGGAACCAGAGCAGCACTGACATAGCAACATCCTCTGCAGCTGCAGAGGGGACAGACTTTGCTCCTTCAAATTCTTCTTATTGCCAGTGTGAACATAGCAATGTGGCATGTTTCACACCTGCAGAAGATTTGATTCAAGGCATAAAATAAAAATTCAAATTAAAGGTGATAAAACTTAAACTATGTAAAAGCTTAACTAATTTCAATAGTGGAAGTAATTTATTTAATTTCTGTTTGATGATTGCTAACATCTTTCATAAACAATTTTCATCAATACGATGTTGGGAGAAAATTGGTGAATTGGAGACCTTCTCAGGAGCGTGTATGATGGTCAGAAGTGAAGTGCTGAGTGGCAGAGAGTGGTGGTGTAAGAAGCTGGTTTCTAGGAGCTGGAAGAGTGTTTTATTTTTCCATTCACTTAGTTTTATAGGGTGAGGTTATAGTCACACTTCAGGTGACCTTTAAGGGAAAGAAGAAGACGGGTATGCAATTTTTCCTCCCTTTTGTGTATGTAAACAGTGAGTGGGAATACTGACTGTTACATCTGTATTTTTAATGTATGTATAGATTTCAGATAAACTTGGGGCCTCAATAAGGGATTTGATTCTTTTATATCACAGGAAAAAAAATCTTGAGAGCTGAGCATCAGGATTGGAAGAAATGTTCGACACTGCCTGTTATTAAGGCGTATTCAACTTTAATGTCTAATGAACACTGGGGATAAAGGATGCATTTACCAATGAATCAGCACAGCTATTTAAGTTGAAATTTTGAAATAAATATCTGTGAAAGTCTTCAGGAATTCTTAAGTGAAATAAGAAATGAATAGACATTATATATCAAATCTTTCTAAACAAGCAATGTAATTATTTCTGAAATTCTTTGAAATGAGAGCCAGCTAGGCAAATCAAACATCGTCTCAAAGAAGTCAACAGTTTCCTTTTTTTATTTTCCTTTGTGTATAAAGTATATCATGGAAACAAAACAGAACAGCCTAGATAAAATAGTCCTACAAAAGTTTTCACTGTTCTGTGATGAGCCTTATCTTATTGCAGCCCTATCCCATTATATGATGTTCTGCACAAACCTCTTCTGCCTTAGAAGGTTACAAAACAGAAGTTTTATGATAGCAGCCATTACCACAGAAACCTCGTACACCGCCTGCTTTTTCAGTCTGAGTCTGATTGGAGAAAACACTGACCTGTACATTCACACTTGGTATCACACGTGGGACAGCAGCCGTGACCTGCAGGGGACAGCCTGCTGGGGTGGTGGGGCTACAGCCCTAGTTCTGCCAGAGGGGAGGTGCTGCTTGGCTGAGAGATTGCTAAACAGAGAACGTGTAACTGGTGTATGTGTTAGAGAAGGTGAGCCAACACATCCTAAATATGTAAGACAATTCCAACAGCTACATCTTTTCACACTTTGTAACTAGCGTGGGCAAGCCGCAAAGGGTCCTTTTGTTCCTCTATTCCTGCAACATCCAAACTCAAGCTTCCTGCATACTTCCCTCTCACAGTTCCCTATTTCGTGTATTTTCTGTAGCCTATGCCATGGCCTCTGAGTGTGCCCCATGGTTGCTTCCCTGTTACTGTTTTTGTTCTCTTATAGGTGAGGGAGGTTATTCAGGATTTCATCTACCGACTGGGGCTGCTGTACTTGCTGCAAGGCTGGGGATCACATTTGTGTCATCTGTCCCCTTTATCAATTTCGCCCAATGCTACCAGGCATTATCTGTTAACATCTGGGTATACAGCAACATTTGCAGTTGGTCAGACGATGAATTTCTGATGTTAATTCCTTACAGACCAACCATCAAGTTGATGATAAAGTCCATTTCTCATGCCCGGTGGCCAGATGAAGATTATTATGTTAAATGTTAGGTATGAGATCACATTTCAACATCAAAACCAGTTAAGATTCAAAACACAAACAGTTTACATGTTTATAAGAGCAGGTTCAGCAAGCATCTGCGGAAGATTGATGCAACATAATCTTCACCAGCATTGCGTTCCTCTTCCCCATGGTATGCATCAGCTGCGGGACACATGGATTCTTCCAGACCCTGCTGAGCAGCAGGAGAGTTGCTGGTGGGGCACTTTCCTGCCAGATGGGGCCATGGCAGAGCTTGCATGGCAATCAGCTGCTCTGCTTCCCTTCGTTGATGTTCTTGCCCTGTAAGAATGGATAAATTTATGCCAGTAGCCAAAATAAATGACCAGTACAAGCCACATGCATTTTTTTCTCTAGTGAGATGCATTTCTGCGACCTGCATTCCTTTTCCTCAGCATTACCCAGTTATTCCTAGGAAACCCTCTACAACTTCAAGCACTGCAGAACTTCTGCTCTCTAAACGAGGTGTAATCCATCCCTCTAGACCCTCCCAAAATCCTGCTAGCCTCTTCTTGCCCTGATGCTCCCAGTGGCCAGGTGGGAAATTTTGGGTGATATGCCAATTATCTCTAAATATGCAGATATTCATCTAAATAATTTGGACGTATTGTAACGCACAAAAGTGCCCAGAGCCCTGACAGCAATGTGGCATACAGAGAAGGAAGAAAAGAGAGCGCAATGCAAGGACATGCCAAGGAATCTCCTCTCCCTTTATTTTACTGTTCATGTCCTGAAGTGTCACGTAATTTGGAATCAGCAGCATACAAAGTGTAAGAGGGAAGAGGAGGCTGTTTTTACCGGCATATCTAGAAAGGGGGTATTTTGGTCAGAGCTATAATTCCTTTCCTTTCTAAGCATAAGAAACATAATTCAGCCCTTAACCTCTCTCCTACTCTTGCTTTCTCTTCCTCTGTAGATATTGTCTTTATTGTTAGCCTAATTAATGTCATCATTATATTTTTAAGTCATCTAAAAAAAACCAAGGGTCTCTTTAGCGAGCTTAATGTAACCTACTGAATTTCATTCAATTTTGCTTCTTACAGAAATAGAAAAGGTGAGTTCCTTAATTTTTTCTTCTCTTTTTTGGGACAGAGCGTGAAATTTATAACTCTGGCTAGACAATGGCCCCCTCAGCGGCAGAGACTCATTTCAGAGACAATAGATGTTGTCCTGACTCTGCCGCTGTGGCCACATCAAACCATTGTTATGGCTGCAAGCCAAGAAGAGAAAATAACCCTTTTTATTATTGCTTTTTTATGCAGTCTCTGTAACTTGGCAAGGTTCCTTCAAATGTGATTTTGCAAATCTTAAATGCAACATATTATATTGTATTATTAACCTTGTATTTCGTATCCCTTTGATATGATTCCTTTGCAAATGCTTGAAGTCTACACAGATCTATCAGGTAGCTTTAAATGTATTCTACAAAGAAACCTTAAATAATACAGCTGCTAAAGAGGTTTTTCCTTTACCCAGAAATTCAGTCTGCTGGCATGTATCATCTTGAAGGTAAATGTTTTGTTTGTGTTCCACAGGTAATGTTTTGTTAGTGATGTTTTTTCTTCTTTTTCTGTACACCTCACAGATTTCTTTCAAGTTTCAAGGAGACTAATTTTGGTTTCAAATCATTTTTTGAATAACTTGTACAAATTTCTAGTAAGAGTGTAAACATTAATTGTATATATTCTTTTTATTTAGGCACCTTTGTTACTAAAGTCACAGCTACAGATGCAGATGATCCAGTTTATGGAAATAGTGCCAAACTGGTTTATAGCATTCTGGAAGGACAGCCTTACTTTTCTATTGAGCCACATACAGGTAGGTGACTCTGAACACGAATCCCTGGGTTGTATTTACACAACTGACTGTGCCTCTTACAGATTTCGTATGATCTACTTAAATGGAGAGTGGAAGTACACGTCTGTCGGCATGACGGAGTTGCAACATGTCTTACTTGTATTTCATCAGATTCTGGTCATGTGAAAAGATGTGAAAAGAAAAATCTGTATTAATGGTAATGTGTAAGGAGGGGTAATGCTGATATTATAGAAGTTACTGAAGCAAAACTAGAGGTTGTGGAAGTACCATGTGATTTATAACTGATTTGGGATTGAAATACGTGGCCTGAGGAATTTAATGAGCATAATGTAATTTTCAATATGAGACTATGTATAGTATTTCCAGTTAAAGACAGTGCAGATTAGCTTGGGAATTTTAGTGAATATATTGTGTGTTTTTGTTAAAAATTATTTTAGTTTCTTGATTGAATGGATTGGGGGAAAGAAAGAACGGGATACTGAGCGTTGGTATGAAGTTTTATTAGCATGTGTTTAGGAAGACTTTATTTCTCTGTGGTTTTAAAGTCTTGAAAGTAATCTGAAAGAAGTGCTAATAAATCCATTCCCTCTTGTTTCCTGTACATATGTCGTACTTACAGCAAATTCATTTAGTTATGTCTGAGAAGTGTTTTTTAAAGTGATTTAATATTATTTCTTATATTCTTTTACTTGTTACTAGGAGCTGTTTTTAATCCCTGTGAGTCACGCAGCTGTGATCTCCTAGGGAGAAGAAAACTATAACTCATTTGAAATCATACAAAAAACTGACTGAATTTATATGACCATAAAGGAGTAAAGCAGGAGTAAAAATTCTTGTCCTCGTGCAGATTCACAAAATTATGAAATAAATGCTAGGAGAAATTATTAAAGGATGTTTTTGATGGATTAAGTGTGCTAAATTTTCTCACCAGCATTAAACAGAGTACTCTTAGACTCCTTAAAGCCTGAAAGTTCTTTAACTCTTTCTGGTGAGATTGCATGGGAAAAGTTATCTCCCTTTCCTAGAAATGCCCTAACTTGCAGGGACTTCAGGTAAATAGTGTACGTCAGTAAATATTAATAGGTGGATTAATACATTAAAGTATTTTCTTCTGGTTGAAGGACAGCTATCCTAAGTGAAAACAATCTCTGGAATGTGATTCAGTTTTTTATTTTATGCTGCATGTAAAACAGAAAGAGTCCTCACACTGCACAATGGAGGAACAGCAGCTTGTTTCAAAAATAAGTATGTCAAGAGAACGCTATTAGTGAAGCCCCTTAGTTCGTGCTGGCTGGTTTGTGACAAGTCATGTGGAGATGTAACCCTGACAATCAAGTATCAAAAGATATGATTTGGTGTTCTTTAATGTTACAAATTATTGCATGCACTAATGACTTGTGTTAACTGTCTTAATTAGAGGAGGATTAGCTGTAAGCTTTCTCAGTTTCTACTGGTGAAAGTTAGTGATTTAGCAGAGGAACACATCAGCTTTCACTGAGGAGCTGAGAAGCATATTCTCCACCTACACAGAAGATTTTTCACTGCTTTCACATGAAATAGCCTGAAAGAAAATATTCCAAATGTAAAAAATTATTTAATTTTACTCAGGTTTATTATTTGCATTGCATTAAAAGCTCATGCTTAATCCAATGAAGTAACTATTCATCACCTAGGAAAGAGATTTCCATTATCATGAAAGCCAGGGAAAACTCCAAAGCTTTTTCGTGAACCTGAAAATCATGATTTTTCTCCTGTTTCACTAGCATTAAATTCCCCCTCCTACCTTCATTTCCAGTTACAAATATTCCTTTGAGTAGCAGTTCACTTACCATGAAAATGACGCATTATTTTCAAAAGGGAATTTAATCATGAAGAGTTCAACTGTGGCTTTGCCACAGTCCCTGAGTAAGTGGCTTCGCCTTATGAAGCTGCTTCTGAATGAATAAGTGGTTTCAGATTCCCCATTTTTCTAGAGCTGTGGAGGACATCAATTATGTTCTTCTCAAAACCATTACAACTGAACGAGTTTACGCACTGAGGCCATCCTCTGTTTCCTTGCCATCTCTACGTAACAGCCTTCATCCGTAGTGTAACTACCATACTGCTCCTACAGCTACCCAAATGGTTTGTTGAATCCAAAGAGTATGCTGCTGTTTCTGTGACATTAGATGGACCTATCCGTTACTTGTGATGTTTTAAAATTTGCAGATTTTGTTCTTGTGTCCAAGATATGTCTCAGTCGCTTAGGCAAATCTTAGTCATACTAGATGTTAAGTTGTGTAGAGCCCTCCAGCATATGTTTATTTAGGATATGTAAACTATAAATATACATAGAAGTCTATTCATTAAGCAAACCAGATGCAGGTAGTCATGTGGAAACTGCGGCCACTTATTATACAGGGTGAAAAGGATTGCAGTAAAACCCAGCAGCTTGTGATTCTTCTGAAGTGTTGATTTCAGAAAATGTAAGGAACCAAGCAGCAGATTTTCTTGGTAATACCAGAATTCTGGAGCAAGGGTATGATAATGTTTATTACATACCAGAGAGAGTTTTATGGGTGGTTACATGCAGTCTCAAAATGCTAATAGTGTTATGCTAAGATAGCTACAATTTAGCAGTAGCTTGTGGCGCGGTATATTTCTCCGTTTAGAGGCAGCGGTGCATAAAACACGCATGCTGGTTTAGCAGCTATGTAATTTGGACAGAAGCACTGTTGCCCTGGACGGAGTGGAAGGTGCATTGTAACAAAATGTCCAAAGCAAATAGAAAGTATGTAGATGTTTGGCTGTTTCTGTATATTTATCCAACCTTAGCAATGTGAACCATCACGACTAATATTTGTTTCCTCTTAGTAACTGGGCCAGGAAAACACATTGTCTGACGCATCTGTGTGTAGTACTCAGAACTTGAAAGAAAGTTTTCTTGTGAGAAGGTGTTTAGATACTACTGTGGCAGAGTACAAATTAGAGCAGAACAGTCATGTGTAGTACTGTCTTATCCAAAACAAATCCAACCTGAAGGCGATCCTCCAAACATGTAAGGAATTGTAGGGTTTGGGGCTTGGTTGGTTGGTTTTTTGGTGGTTTGTTTTTTGGGTTTTGGGGTTTTTTTTGGGCGGCGGGTGGGGTAGATGTGTGTTTAGCTACATTTTCTCTGTGGGTACATTTCATTAGTGCGCCTGCTAAGTTGAACGCCTTTCCAATTCATTTGAAACAGAATTGTTTCTGAACACAGATATTGTGTCTAGAATGGTGTCTTTCCCAAAATGGAATCACTGTTTTAAGAAATGGTCTCCCCACTTCAGAATGTAAATAGTTTCTGTCGCTCCTGGGAGGGTATCAAATGTTATAAAAAAATATAGTTACTAAGAGCTGATCTACTTACTATTTTTCTAGATGACTGGCCCTTTATTAGTTTTTTTTAATTAGAAATTAAGACTAGATTTAGATCGGTGCAGCCGCCAGCACCAGGGCAACCGTAGATAGGCTGCACTGCCTGCAATTTTTTTCATTTCCTGGCTCAGACTGAAGATTGTCTGACCTTGCTGCTTTGTTTCAATGGTATGCTGAGAGCTTTCTACCAGGAATAATCCCAATCATGCCTCCCAATTCCTCTCCGTTCTGTAGTACTCAGAACAAAAGGAGGGAGCAAAAGTTAGAATATGGCTTTATGAGTGCGATAGAAAGGGTTGCTACACCTGAGAGTAAACCTGAGGAAAGCAGTTGCTTCTTGTGCTTTTTTATTCTTACTAGCTTGACACTAACTAGGTGTAGTCCTTATCTGAATCACAATCTTGGTTGGAACTCTGACATTACTCTCAACCTCCTTGCTGAAACAATTCTATAATGCTGGGGGCACAGAAATAAGTACCAGTAAGTGACCCATAAAACAATAATTTTCCCTTACCTTAGATGAAAAATGCATATACTTCTGCAGTTCTAGTTTGCAAATTCTTCTGTATGAGTTATAGACACATGAAATAAGGTAATTTGGAAGTTCAGTGCTCTGAATATGGCTTAGGGTAAATGCATTTTTGACGGCTTGTTCTGAATATTTTTCATTTTTCGTAGGTGAATTTTAATATGACCATTGGTTTATCGGATAGAGAGTAAACATAAATAAAACATTACAAAGATACAGGTTCAGATTTTCTATGAGAGGCTAAACCTACAATGTGATGGCAAGAGATCAGTAATGAAACTCACGTTGGAGTATATGTATTCCATAAATCACTGTCGTTATATCTGACTAACTGATGTCAGGTTTCCTGACTAGTGTGTATTATTTATAAAGGTATACAGGTTGTATGTATTTTCTCATAATCCAAATTATGATAATCAAATTCCAGGGAAGGGGATTCCTTAAGAAGGCTAAAAGTACCTAAAGTACACTTCTCACTTTTAAGCTTTTTCAAGGATATTAAATCATGACTGTCAGCTTTAAAATAAGATTATCATAATGGAACATAATATGAAGTGACACTCTGTTCTACAATATAGGAATGGCAGAGAAAATACATTTTCAGCTGTGTCTGACTTATTTACATTTCACATGAACTTAAATAATGTCACTCCTACACATACCTGAAATATAGTTACATGAAGAAGGTAAATTACACCAGACGCCCTGCTGCTCTGGAAAACACATTGTATTACTCAAGCGTAAGCCCATACTGTATATGAAAAAGGATAGATTTTAAACACTGCCATCTTGGATATGATCATTTGGTACAAAGCCAAAGTTCAAGTTAGTAAAGCTGAGATGAATAGAAGAGTCAGGAAACCTAGTTAATGAAAGACTCTCGTAATAGAATGTGGATATTCCTTTAGGGAGTGAATAATTGATTTATTGTTTTTCTATACCTAGCTTTAACTTCCAGGTGAAAGTGCACATGCTTTAATCAACAGAGCTTTTAGTATATGGCCCTCTCTGGACCCCAATGGTGACCCTGTGACACCCTGTGGTTCTGAAATCAGAACATAAATGAGTAGGCTGGGAG